CGCCGAGGTCTCCTTTCGGCAGACGTGATTTACATGTGGTCCCCACCGGCGGCCGCAAATAACGAGAACCGCCGGCCCCGTCTCGCACCCGAGACTGTCGTCGAGTACCACACCACCGTCGTCGAAATTCGGACACGGATAAGTCCGGTTCTCCGCCATCGATCGTCGTCCGATTCCTCGACGAGCGCGTCTCGATGCGCGGCGCGGGCCGATCTCGCGTCTCGCGTCTCGCGTCTCGCGTCTTGCGTCTTGCGTCTTGCGCTGGAGAGAATCCCTCGTCTCGCGCCGCATTTCTCCGTTATTTACGCCGAATTTAGCCGACCCCTTTCGGCCCTCGTATCGCACAAAATGTCACATTGGCACGAGCCCGAGCCCCTCGGGGAAATTCTATTTCAATTTGTAAATTTCAGCGAGAGCGAGAGATCTCTTCTTATCTGAGGATAATACCGAGTGAGCGCGAAAGTTTGGTGGGAATTGGGTGGTGGAAAAATGGACCGAGCAGTTTCATTAAAACGACTTGTTCATTCTCTCTCTAGCAAGTAACTGCTATATTTTCTATTAACCAACGGTGTGCACTATGCGTCTACGTATTTGCAAGTGCTGCCATAAAACTGCGTCGGTCGCGTCTTTAAGAAGCCCATCAACACTCTCGCACTTAGCCAATGAGCCTCCGTAGATCGCGTTTCTCTCTTCCCGCTCTTGTAGCTTGCGGCTATTATTTCCGTGACATGTACGGAGAAGTGAGAGAGAGAGAGAGAGAGAGAGAGAGAGAGAGATCGGTCGGATTCACACGACGATGGACGAGCCAAAGGCGAACTTTCGGCCGAAGGAGAGAGAATTTCCGCCAAAAATCCCGCTTCCTGCGCACGAAAGCGCGATCGGCTCGCTCGTTTGGACGATTTTCTTCCTTCGTACGTAACACAGTGACTTATCGTGTCCTATACTAAATATAAACAGATATTCACATGTCCTCGCGCACCTCTTCGTATTCCCGTCGCTCCTCGTGCCCGCCGCGCGCCGACCTTGCGGACGACCCTTTACCTCGCGGTGAAATTCGCGAGTCCGCCGGTGATCCTGCGATTACTGCACATGCTGAAAACGTGCGCTCGCCTCGGCTACCTCGCGAGCCTGCCGACGAAGCCACGACACGGCCGGTCCTGTCCTATTCTGTGTATATATATACTATATATATATATATATGTATATACACATGCGCGCTCGTGCGAGGCTCGCTCTTCTCTCTTTTGCGAGTCCGCCTACCTTGCGAGGATCCGAGCTCGTCGCGTCGCGCCGCGCCGTCGCCGAACGTGACCGCTCGGAAACGGCGCGATCCACACTCGGAATCTTTAACGCGCGGCCGTAGCCGTTCGCAGCAGCGAGCCAGCTGGAATCTCGCGCGCTACATTCCGCGCACAGCTCGCTTTCTGAATGTGCTTAACCCTTTCTGGGACCAGCCCGACGCGCGCCGCTGCCGATCCGCCGAAGCGTCGCGAGAGGAGGAGGAGGAGGAAGCCGCCCTGCGATTTCAGACGTGGAAACTCAAATTTCCACGACCTGAAGATCGAGCTTCACATTTGGGCTTGTCGCGACGTCCCGCTGCTCATTAGTTCCCCGAGAGAGAGAGAGAGAGAGAGAGAGAGGGAGAGAAAGAGAGAGTGGACGTTTAACGAGTGACGGAGGTGCAAAGTTCGTCTTGGGGTCGCCGATGACTCGACCGCCCTGAAAGACGAGTGCTTTCATTCGCGTTTCACCGGACGGTTACCCGAAACGCGCGCGCGCGCGCACGCATTTTCGTTATCGATAAACGAAACACGGCTGGGAACTCGCGCGAGTCCCGCGGCGAGAAGATTCTCTCGCGCGTCGTGCCGGCGCTGCCGGCGCGATACGCCGAAGCGCGCGGAGATTGAATTTTCCCCACGGAGGTGTTGACGATGATCCCCCCGAGCGAGCGTCGACAATACAGCTGTTCATGAGGGCGAGCGGCCGCGTTCCTCGCGCGAGAATCGCAGAACGGTCGGAGAATCGCAGACGACAGTCGCAATTCGAGAGCGGGAACAAAGGTCGCGCCGGGATTAACGAGCGTCGCTTGACGCGCCTCCGCGGTAATTAGCAGACGACGCCGTATAATCCCGCGGCACGGCGCACTTTCGCGCTCGGACCGATGCACTTTCATTTTCTACGGCAATCCGAGGGGCCGCCGCCGCCGCCGTCGCCGGCGTCGTTGCCGTCGCCGGAACCCGTCAGATGTCAAAGAGCTCGCATCGACGTGGAAGCGGCGGAGCCGGGGGGAGCGGAGGGCCAGCCGAGGGCAAGAATTCCCGAACACAGAGCTGCTTTTGTCCAGGAACCTGACGCGAGCGCGCGCGAAGGCCGTCGACCCACGCGGCCGTCGCCGAGGAGTTTTCAGCGATACCGGCGCGGCGACGCGGGAGAGAGAGAGAGAGAGAGAGAGATGCGCATCCGGCGCGCGCCCGTGCGCGATCGCGATTCGCGTAAACGAGCCGCATTAATTCGCGCGCACGCCGGCGACAATTATAGACGCGCGTTCTCGCGTGTGCGTCTCGCGGAACACCGCCCGGAGGACGCCGAGGGCGGAGGGGGGAGGGCGGAGGAGGGAGGGGAGAGGCCGTGCGCGTTCACATCCGTTCCCACAATCGACCAGATCGAAATACGAAGGAAGGTGTGCGAAGGGTGGCCTGCGTGCGTCGCTCATATACAGGGTGTCCCGAAACGCGCAGGTTTCGCGACGCGGCTCGGGCGATTTTCTTTTTTTCTTTCTTTCTTTGCACAGAGTTATTATTGTATTTTCTCGCGGGAGCTTGGAAGACGAGATACAACGGACGGATGTAGTATTCCCTCTGCACTGTCCACTAGTCTCGTCTAATCTCTCCTCTCCGATAGGAGCGAAGTTGGACGAACATCGAAATGCTCACGGTGCGCGGATCGTTTTTTTCATTTTCGGGTAATCCCGGGGAAAATGTTTTCTCCGTGTTCGACCCTGTCAAACTGTGCCCGTCCAGCACGATCACGATGTGAGAAAGATTAGTGCAAGGTGTTTCTCCCCCGCAAGGAAAGCTGTCCGAATAAACTCCGCTGACGAAGCGGAGTTGAGTTTCCCCCGTCACCGCGGACATCTGCGTTTCGAAGTTCCGCGAGGGGAAAAGCGAGATGGCGCTTTTCTCAGGCGGTTTTGTCGGGGCCGGGGCCGTATGAAATATGCCGAGTGTGCTTGTGGAAGCACGCGCTTTCTGAATTTCGCCGGGTTAGGTTAGGTTAGGTTAGGTTAGGTCGCCGGGGTCATTGTTTTCGGCCGATTTCTCTGCTCGATGCTCTCCCGCGTTCAATGTAATAATGTGCCAAAAGTGCACTCTCATTGTAGACAATACGCGTCGCACGCTGTCGCATACAATGGCCTTCGCGGATGGACATGTAAGAGGCACGAGGGATATCGCATTATAATGCTAATTCTCGCGCGAGCGCTGTTGCTTAAGAGTGACGTTTCGTTGATGTACGACGCGCGGCGAATCAACGACAGAGGCAGACGCACAGAGAGAAAGAGAGGGAGAGAGGGAATAGAGAATCAGACCGATAAGGTCGATAACGTGTGGATGCAGCCGATGTAAAACTTGAAAATTTCATCCTTTGAGAATCAGCCGATTCCGCCGCGCTTAATGTACCGTGGCGGTCTCGCTGGGGTACTTGAGAGTCTCCCGCTCTCCTCGGGGATAAAAAGCTACTACTAATTACAAGTCTCGCGATATACTCCGCGCCGTTCGGCCGCTAACGCAAATTGGGTCCTTGCGGAGAGTCGTCGCGCCCTCGAAAAGAGACATTGTCTTTGGACGCTGAAACCGATCGCCCGTGTCCCGGTCACGCCGCTACGCCCCTGATCCAGCATGAATCGATGCATTCGAGCGCACGCACGAGATGCGAGCGCCGATTTCTCGCTACGCTCGGCCCGTGGCAGAAAAACGCGGCGTTCTCGCGAGGAGCGTAACGAACTCACCGTGAGTCATCGGCGCGAAAATAAAGCGCGAGGAAGCCCGTGTGTATGTATGTGTGTGTGTGTGTGTGTGTGTGTGTGTGTGACCCCGGCTGATAAAAAGACTTAACAACGATGACCGCAGCCGCGCGGTGCATCACGCACATAGCACCGGCTTGAGACGAGGGCGGAGGGGGGAGGGGGGGAGAGAGGGGAAGTACTTCATGAGAAAAAGAGAGAGAGAGAGAGAGAGAGAGGCGGGAGAAAGGACCAGATAACGCAAGCTTTCCTCTTTTTCTCTTTTTCTCGCGCGTTTCCTCGCTCTCGCGAGCGAGCTCGATCGAGCGTCGAGCGGAAAAATCTGGAAAAATCCGAGGAATCTCCGCGCGGGGCGAACGTGAGATTCTCGGCCCTGGCAAGGGCCGTCCCGACGATACGTAATCTAGCGCGAGGAAGTTGGACTATCTTGCCGCAAGATTATCGCTGTATGAACGTATGGTCCAAAAGGGCCGTCCACTGACGGACGCATTCCACGAGACTCGCGAGAACGCGAGCCCGATGCCCCTGCGACGTCCGAGCTCGATTAATCTCTCTCTCTCTCTCTCTCTCTCCCTCGTCTGAGACGCGCGATCGCTTGTGTGTGTGTGTGTGTGTGACCTGTGCGACGGACTTTACACGCGTGTTGTATTTTCTTTTTTCTGTTTCTTTTTTTTTTTACGCGCGTTTGCGCGGTTGAGTGCGCGGGTGAGGACTTTAGGTGGCACTCTTTGGGAGCTCGCTGACCGATCGTATATCGTCGGTACTTCGCCTCGACCGGCGGCGGACTTCCCTTCTAATTCGCGCCTTCGTGCAACGGCGATCCCGATACGCGCGCGGTCCTTATGCATATTCAAAATATGCAATAGGATTTCGCCAATTTCGCTCTTGCCGCAGGAAAGTGGGTTAACCGCGCGCGCGCGTCCGACTCTCGCTGAAATGTCTCTTGTGCAATATATCGCGCAAAGTAAAACCATAGGAAATGCGGCGAGATAACGGCCGTGCGCGAGCACAATAACGCGTATTATGATCAGTCCGCGGACGGCACGGGTGTTGGCGGTTACGTTTGATAAGCTACCAGCGAGTGATGCACCTTCTGTCCGACGCAGCGCGCGAGTAAACTGAAAAATCGTTGAGCAAACACACGAGTGTGTCACAGAGAGGAGCGCGTGATTTAAGCGGTGGGCCGCATGTCGTCCAAGTGGAAAATAACATTTCGAAAGAAAGGTACGTGAGGCAGTGGGCCAAACATGTTTCTATTATTACGTCCTCTCGATGGAATCTCGCCGACGATGACTCTCCGATGTGCGGCATGCGATTTTTGTTCCGTCCCGATTTCAATTCTCCGTGGAAAGTTTACGGAGAAACGCGGAAAATACGCGCTATATAATAATTATCTGGACTGGTTCTTCTTAATTAAAAACGCATAAAAGGTACATAAGAAAGTAATTTGGATATCCCTTTTTAATGATGTTTTCCAATACGCCCGACAGTTACGCGATAAGTTAATCTCTTTCGTTTGATAAATTCTTACAAGAATTCTTTTAATAAGCGTAATAATTGACAATTATAATTAATTTAGTAATTAATAATATTTTTTTTGTTTGACAAATTTTTGCGATAATTCTTTCAATGATCTCAATAAATTCCCGAAAGAGGCTTTTCCTCGCTCTGCGATGTGAAGTCGGAGAAGTCGTCGTCGTCGGAGGCGGCGGCGACGTAACGGAAGAGGCTCGCGATTAATTACTAGACTCGTTACGTCCGCGCTTACACACGGTTCTTACTGTTTTCCCGTTCGCCGGGAACAGCCGCGCCGCTTTCCTCCTCCGTGTGTGATTTGCCGCGGAAGCGTTGATCACCTGCTCTCCCGGGGCCGCGTTTCGACTGCACGTCCGACAGGGATGACTGTAAGCGCGTACGACGCCGCTCGCTCGTAATTATCGCGTAAAAAAACGCGTCTCTGTCACGCGGCTCTCCAGTGGTTGTTGGACCTGATTGGCGGCTCGCGAATCTCGAAAGCACCGGTTATTTTTCCGAAGCCCTCGTCCGCCGCCGTCGCAGACAATGGGCGCGCGGTTATCGCGCGATAACTCGCGTGACTGGTTTATCGCCCTCGTCTCTGCGACGCGAGTTTTCCAGCTGTCTAAAATCGTCGCGCGACCGACACGTTGCGTATCGGTGCGTATCGGTGAAAAATGGGCGCGTTTTGCCGCGCGCTATTTCCGTCGCGACAACACCACGCGTCGGACCGGCCTAGGGGGCGAGGGTGGAGGGTAGCCGATGAGAGACAATAAACGTCTGCCGCGGTCCCGCGCCACATGCCACTAACAAATATTCGCGAGTGCCAATAAATTCCGCGCTCTGGAATGAGCGCGGGATAAAAATATTCCCCCTCTTTCTCTTTCCGTCCCGCGGTCGCCAAATTCCGTGCTCGCGGAATTGACAGCGTGAGTCGAGCCGCGGCGGGCGCGTGTAATGGTCTCCTCGACGGACGAGGAAAAGGGAAATGCGCCGCGAAAGACGGACGCCGAAGGCAGAGAAAGTGAGCGGGTGACACACGCCGCCGTGACTCGCGACTCTCCGCTGCGCTCCGCTCGCGCAGCGAGAGGAACGTGGAAAAGTCACGGGACATGGCGTAGGCTCTGGAATTTTTTAGGCTCTCGCGGCTTGAAGAAACACTTAATTTGGTGACGTGAATATTCCGGAAATACTCGGGTCACACATACACACACACAGTCGGTGGGTGGCGTTCTTCGCCACTTCGGAAGAAGCGGACTAGAAATCTTACGACGCGTCGGTAAGGAATCCACGATAGATCCGCGATAGCGAGCCGGAAAGCAAATCAAGCAGGCGGATAATCCCGAAGCGAAGGGAAAAGGAGAGGGAAAAGGTGAGACTCGACACCGCCGGTTTAGATCGTGACCGTTGTCTTTTCTTTTCTTTTCTCGCGGCCGAGAGGATCACTGAACAGCCCACGAGGCGCGGAAGTTTCCAGGGCAAAAGGACAAGCCGCGGGGGAGCCCGGTGAAGGACAACGGGAAGAAAGTGTCGGGTAAATTCTTCACGGGGACCGCGCGCGCGCGCCGACAGCGTTTTCTCGACACGACACTGTGAGAGCCTACCCGGATCAATTTTTCAATAGATTTCGCGACGAGAGGCACGACACGTTCGCCACGTACGTGACTTAACGGCGAATGCGCTCGACAAAACAGACGTGAGCACGAATTTCTGATTCATCGCGCCAGCGCGCTCCGGCGTAGCAGGCGTAAGGATATTTTCGAGTTTCAGAAAGCTCTTCATGGCTTCGTTTTGGCTCGCCCATTTTTGGCCGCGATGCGGATAAGGTGTCTTGATCTATTATCTATTATCAGCGGATAAGTCGTTAGAACCTATTGTCGTACGAGCGCAGTCGCGATAAAGCTACGTTCCTGAACGCTTACCCAGTGTTAGGGAGATTAAGAGAATCAAATTTTCGCATCTTGTCGATTTTCGTTCCTCTCTTAGGAAGCAGAAATTCCGTTTTCCTCGAGCGAAGCGCGTTGTCGCGTTTTCAAATTCAACCGATCTCTCTGCCCTCGGTTCGGCCAAGAAATTCAAGAAGTCAGCACGCCAGCACGCATCCCATGACGCATCATATCTACATCCCGTGACGTCATACGTGAGGAAACCGCTAATCTCGCTCTCGTCATTAGCATACGCGTCGCTATCTCTGCATCGCATGGGTCATTCGTGAAAACACACCGACGATTCCGCCGTAATCCGGCCTCGTTTACTTCGAGTCTATTCATCTTTTACGCGTCGGCCGCTGAGAAAAATTAATAGAAAATCCGAGAAAAGCGCCAAGGGGCAGAGCGGCGTCGTTTCGGCGTCGCGGCTCTGTTGGTCGAGAGTTTCGCGCTAAAGAGTCGAGAGGAAAAAAGCGAGAACTCGATGAAAGCGAGACCACGCTTTTCGACGACTCGCGAGAGTGGAGCCGACTCGAGTTTGCCGTCGTCTTCGTCGTCTCGCCCGATTTCGCGGCGTGTGAGGAAATTCGTCAGCTTAAAAAACGATTTCCAAGCCGACTTCCGAGCGCTAGTCCTAGTATTCTATATTTGACCGGTGAGTCACACGCGCTACGATTGCGCCGTTATTAGAACGTACGTATACCTGCATGTATGTACACACTATATATATATATATATATATACAGGGTGTCCGTCACGTACGCGTCAAAACTCGTGTGTGTGTGTGTGTGTGTGTGGATAAAACGGCTCGAAACGAACGAGAAAGCCCTCTACCATTTTTTGAACAGCCACACAAAATCTCTCGAGGTATTAATGAAAGAAGATTGGCCGATCAGTGCGCGCCGTAAAGAAAAAGAATAAGACTGACCGCACGATTGTCTCTTAGCAACGATCAGTATCGGATGCTACGACAAATAATAATTGTTTACACACGCCGCTCGTATCTTTTCTCCGGCTCTCCGCGGCTTTCATCCGATACTGCTGAGAGACGATCATCGCGTAGTCAGCCATTCGCGCGAGTCTAGTCTAGATTTTCACTCGGACAGTCCGCGCATATATACGGGTAACAATTAACAAAATTCAAATCAGAAATTATTTTGATCGTTACGTTATTATTCGTCAATCGTTTCCCACCACCCAGATAACCCAGAATTTTTGCTCGGGAATTGGTGGAGAACTTTTCTACTCATCTCTAGCCGTCTTATCCGTACGCGAATGATGATTGAATATAATGGACGGACACCCTGTATATCATACGGGCGCGATCGCGCATCTTTTTCGCGTGTCGTCAGCGCGACGTTTGAACGACGGCGAATAAAATATCGGCGATAATGCGATCGAGCGATAATGAGCGCGGTTTATTGTCGTCTATTAATGAACGAACTGTTAGCTCTCGCCTTTAATGGCGTTTAACGAGAGAGGTCTTGCGCGAGCGCGAGCGCGCGTCGACGAGAGAACGCGTTACAGAGCACGCCCAGCCGAGCCGCTCTCCTCTCTGGAAATTTCTGCGCGCTCGAGCCGAGCGCTGGCGCGAAACGCCGTGATCTTTTTATAAAAGTACCACCGAGGCGCACACATGTTGGCGCCATAAGCCGGCCACGTGGTCCGTATCCTTTCGCAATGCTGGCCTGAGGAGCAATGTAGGAGATAAGTCGGGATTTTCGTGAGCCGCCACGGCCGCGCGGCTTATTTTCCCGCAAACGCTGCCAGAGCCGCGACGACAAGCGGGACAAGGAAGCGTCGCTTCCAGAATTACGATAGATCGATAGGCAAGTAATATGATTATTTGCCTATCAACTTATATACGCGATGCGTTCGGCGGGAGAAATAAAAAGAAAGGAAGTGGCGTCGAGCGGACGAGGTCGACGCTATCGCGTCTATCGCGGATTATCTTATCCGAGCACGGTCGTTCATTTCCTACGATTCCCGCGCGGAAGATAATTATACATCTCTGCTACCGTACGTAGCTTTCGTCGTCTATTTTTACCTACACTCGGCTGAAACTCACGCAAGAGCGTGTCAGGCGATCACGCGCGAAGCGATTCGCATCGGCCGTGTGTGAGTCTGAATTGTCCGCCAAATCTGTGTCATTAGATTAGGTGCCGACATACTGACATACGATGAACAGTGTTAATGTCATTACGGTTCCTCTACGGTTTCCAAGCCGGCTGGATGCATTGTTGCGCGTAGCCTTGAGCGACTCGAAGCTGCCTCGCTTCTCAGCGCGCCGCTCCGAGTCCCTTTCGCGATCGAAAGGCCCGGAGAAGTCAAAAGCGCATGCGAGGACGAGCGTCCCTTCGACCTTCGGGAGGAAGAGAGAGAGAGAGAGAGAGAGAGAGAGAGAGAGGAGAATTCCTTTCGGTCTCAACGACGATGAAACTTCTCGAGGAAGAGGGAGCGCGAGAACACTTGGCAATACTCGATTGTAGAGCACCGAAATATCTGCGTGCTTATTCATTCTCGCGCTTGAAATTTTTGCGACGACGGAGAAACAGCCACGGTTCTCGGATTACATAAGGCTCGTTGAAGTCCGCCGCGCACACCCGATATATCTTCGTGAGCTGCAAGGCGCGTCCGAGAGAGGGTGGGGATACCTGCGTGGTATACGCGGTAAGGTGAATCAGCACGCATGCATTTCGGCGGACCGGAGTGGTCCTCGTCAAACGGAAGTGTTTCACGTTGACTCAAGCGCGAAAGTCACGGTGGCGTGACTATCTAATG